CACTTGGTTCCACGCACCAGCTTCACTGGGCCTGATTCAAATTTTTACTTCAACAAAAGGCAAATTTCTCCATATTGTTGACCTTAATCATTTATTACAAATAGTTGGAACAGTGACTGTTGAATCCATGAATGCTAAAGCTCTACTTTACTGTTTTTGGATTAATCTGCTCCTCCTCCATTCATGTACTAGTATTTCTCCTTAGGGATTTTATTGACTAATTATCTAGCAGTTCTAAGAGAAATTCTTGTGGCCTCTCTGCATAACCATTGTTTATTCATTCTTAGATACAAAATAGTGCTCCTTGAGGTGAAATAAATGAATCATGGCAGGTTGGAGAAAAATGAACTTGCTATTACACATCCTGCACATAATTTTTTAATTTCTCCCAGATGATTGACTTAAGATTTAATCCCTTTTATTGCCTTCAGTATTTCAGCCAAAATAAGACAGACTGCAAAAAAGTGCAAAAAGAAAGAAAGAAATGCTAGAGATTGTTTTCTTCTTTTTGGTCTGAATGTTATACTGTCACTTAAATACTAGTTAGGAAGATAAATATCTCAGCTTAATTTTTCTCAATTATGAGCCATTTCTTTTCCCCCTTCCTGCTTTCAGAACTAAGTCATCAACCAGGGCCCAATCATTTCTGCCACTAACCAACTTTGTATTAACTGCATTCATTAATATCTGCTGCATGTACACCAAACACGTTTAAAATGCACACATTAAGCATTGTCATTTATTCTCCTAGAAATGCATCACTACCTAAAAGAATAAACCTTTTAACCTGTATCAGCAATGAAAGAGCTCAAGTAAATGATGAAGTAAATGAGTCCAAATTATAGCGCACTCAGACCAGAATTCATAGACCCATTTGCCCTTGTCTTATAAATTTATCTTTGGAAGCAATGGTCTGTTTGCATATAGTGTAATAGACAAATTGTTCTAACACCCTGCCCTTATCACTCAGGTTTGATTAGGCCAAAATGAAGAACACAAAATACCTGTTTGTATGGCCCAAAGACACAACTACACCACAGTGTCATCTATAATGCAAAAGAAAAAACTGATCTTAAGAGTCCTTCAATAGGGAATTGGATAAATAAATATGGTATATCTATTAATTAAAATGCTATGCAGCCATTGTAAATGAGATAAGTTTATTCTAATAATTTTATTTTTCAATTACAGTTGGCATACAATATTATATTAGTTTCAGGTGTATAGCCTAGTGATTAGACATTATATAACTTACTAAGTTATTATCCCAATAAATCTTATACCTATCTGACACCACACACAGTTATTAGAATATTATTGACTATATTCCCTACGTTTATTCTCATAAAATTATAAATATATGCAAGGAAATTATGAAGACCAAACCTAGCTGGTTTGGCTCAGTGGATAGAGCATCGGCCTTCAGTCCAAAAGGTCCTGGATTCGATTCTGGTCAAAGGCATGCACCTTGGTTTCAGGCTACCCCCCAGCCCAGGCCCTGGTCAGGTGCATGCAGTAGGCAACCAATCCATGTGTTTCTCTCACATCAATGTTTCTCTCTGTCTTTCCCTCTCTCTTCCACTCTCTCTAACAAAAAGAACAATGGAAAAATATCCTTGGGTAAGGATTAACAAAACAAAAAAAAAGCAAAGAAAAGAAATGATAAAAAAAAAACCAAATTCAGTATAGTGGATACTTTGGGCCTGGAAGAAGCAGTATGCAATTAGAGAGGGGTACATAGGCAGACTTCAACTAATTCATAGCATTTTTGATTTTTAAGTTTTGTGGTGGGTACACAGGTGTTCTTAACATTTTTAATAAATTTCTGTTCATCTGAATTATTTACTATTTTTTTAATTCTTTGAGCAACTGACTAGAAAATTCCTGCTGAAATAAAATAAAGTAATTGAAAATATTTTTCATTATGATGCTTAGAAATTGTTTTCTGGGTCAGAGGAGACTAATGTAATATGAAATGAGCATAAATGTCAATGGGTGAGGTTTTGATCTTATAAAGCCTTAATTATAGGGGAAAATTATTGGTGTGGACATCAAAAGAGGATAATTGGAGGGTGGGGGGAGGGTTATAAAACATATATCCTGATTGGTTTAGCTGAGAATTTGGCCCAATGATCTTTAGAGTAACTTTATCTGTAGAATTCTACAGTGCTATAAAACTAGTGCTGATAGCCATTTTTCACCAACCTTCTGATATCTTTCACCAACAATCTAGTTGTCACCCTCATCAGACGTAAGCTTCAGTTATTAAGGAAATATATCTTGAATGCCTACAATTTAGGCACTGTGCTGGCTGCCAAGAAGGCTACAAAAATTAATCAGGCATGGACTTTGTCCTCAAGAATACCCAAGTAATGTGGGGAAGACAGACACATAGCCAACTCACCTTAAAGTAATATAGTCAGCTCTATAGCAAAGGTATGAGTAAAGTGCTATTGGCAGATAGCCGAGAAAGCACATCTGTGGGGCAGAGGAGAGTCAGAAAAAGTTTCACAGAAGACATGATGTTTGCTCTGGATCTTGTAGGGTGAATAGGGATAATTCAGGCAGAAGCAAAAGCATAACCAAAGGCATAAGATGTGAAAATGTATAGCATATTTCAGTGAACAGTGAATAGTAGTCCAGTATGACTGGATCATAAGAGAATGTAGCCAAGATACTAAAGACTCATACACAAGAAGTTGGATTTTGTCCTGTAGGTACTATCAGAATTTTAAACAAGGAAGTAGCTTATCAGATTTACATTTGGAAGGATCACTGGATAAATTAGAGAGATGAAACCAGTAGATCAGTTAGGAGGCAATGTAGTCCAGACCAAAAACTGATGGGAGCCTAACCCAGGACAATGGTAATGAGAATGGAAAGAATACAAAAGGTCAGATTCTACAGACATTTTTCTATGTTAGAATGAGCATGGCATTACAAATAAAAGCACCTACCTTGGATGTTAGGTGCTTTACTGATAGAATTTAGAAGGAGAGCTGGGCTATACAAGGAAGGTAATATATTTGGTTTAGAAATGTTTAATCTGAAAGTATCTATGGGACAATCAGATGAAAATGTCGATCAGCAAAAGTTTTTTACTTTCTCCCTAAAACATATCTTGAATCCAATCTCTTCCCTTCACCTCCATTTCTCCCAGCCTAGTCTATGCCACAAACATCTCTCCCCTGAACTATGAGAAGAGTCACCTAACCAATCTCCTTGTTTCCACTCTGGCCCACCTTAGTTGGTTCTCCATATAATAACTAGAGTAATCCTTTAAAATTTTAATTCAGATCTTATCCCATCCCACCTCAAATCCTCCATTAGCTTCTTATCATATGTAGAATAAATCCAAGCTTTTTACTGTGACCTACAGGGCCCTACTAGATCTGACCTCTGATTATTCTCCTAAGCTCATTTCCTACCAAACTCTCTTGTTCACTTGGCTTCAGCCATATTGGCTTTTTTTCTGTTCCTCATGTTCCAGCCTCAGTGAATCATTTCAGTGACTCAGTGAAGGCCTCAGTGAGGATTTGATTGCCATAAACACAATGCGTAGTTTCCATGGTGATAGCTCCAGGAATTCCAGCCCTCTGAAATTATTTCAGCAGGTCTAAGCAGGTCTCAAAAAAGATGCAATGTAGCTTGCCAAAGTCCAGAAAAAAGCAACTAAATAAACAATCAAAAAAGCTGAAGTGGGATCAAAGAAACTCCATAAAAGGACAACTGAAAACATGACATATGTTTATAATTTCTATCATGTTATCTTACCTCTGATCAAATATGACTTTAGACTCTTTCTCTAGGGTTTTCACTCCCAAGGACCTAAATCTCAACTGACTTGGAAGTCGTGGAGTCATTGAGACCATGCTTCCTTTATATTCTCCAGAATATCTAGCATACAGCTATAAGCATTTAGCACATGTTTAAGGACCACCAAAATAGAGATGAAATTTAATATAATTAAATTCAAATTTCAAAGGGGTAAAGATGAGGGAAACTTGACTTGGTAGAAAAAATTAACAGTTTTAATTTGACCTCAACCTGAGTTGACAGAGGGACTACATTCACTGGGTTATATTCTTCACACCTCCAGTAGAGTACTTTAAAATTGTGAAAGAATAGATGAAAGATTAAATATGTTAATGCAAACTCAGGCAGCATTGATAGAAAATAATGCTCTAGTGACAAAATCAGTTTTAAATTTTATCCTGTCTTTCTCATATTTCTGAAATGTCATGTTTATTTCTAGAAACTCCAATTTAAGAGATTGCTAACTAGAATGTGTCTATGGAAGAAAGACCAAAATTGTGAGGGTTCTGGAAATAGTAGTAGATGTAGGTAGAGCTAGCCTGATGAAGAGATGAGAAGGGGGCATAGTAACAGCCTTGCAATATTTGAAGAAACATCCATAGAAGAAGGAACAGAACAGCTTTGTATAGCTCTAGCGGGTAGTGCTAAAGGGTGAGAGTTATAGAGAACCAAATTTCAGTTCAGAATAAGAAAGTGATTTATTACAATAATTAATATATAATTAATATTCTGTGCTGGAGTGGGTTGACTAAATGGTTGTACACTGCCTTTCAATGGCCTTTTTTTCAGGCAGGTAAAGGATAATCACACAACAGGATATTGTTGGGGAGATTTCTGCATTGAGATGAAGATTGAACTAAGAAAGTGTTTTCAAACTAGAATGCAACCCATTTGTGGAGCCATGAAATCAATTTAGTGGGTCCTGATCAGCATTTTTAAGTGAATTAGGATAGAATAGAAAATATCAGAGAGCATCACACAAAGCAAGGATGAGTGTGGTTTAAGAACTCTATTTTGGAACCATGTTTACATAAATATGAATATATCTACAGGGTTGCAGTGTAATATGCTTTGCTTACTATGGATTGCAATAAAAAATGTTTAAAAACAATTTTTTCAAATGCACTGGAGCCTCTTCCAGTTTTAATATCTAGTAGCTCTAAGAAGTTTTATCTCTGTTGCAGAGGTCCAAAATTGCTGTTTATGAGAAAATGTGGTCTTACATGAAATCAGCAGAGCCATCTGTGTTTACCAAAACAACAGCAGACGGCGTGGCCCGAGTGCGGAAGTCCAAGGGAAAGTTCGCCTTCCTGCTGGAGTCAACCATGAATGAGTACATTGAGCAGAGAAAACCATGTGATACGATGAAAGTTGGTGGAAATCTGGATTCCAAAGGCTATGGTGTGGCAACCCCTAAAGGCTCAGCATTAAGGTGGGTGGAATAATATAACAATATCCGTGTTGTTATAGTATTCCACCTACCCTGATGCATTTTGTTGTCATTTTCTTTCTTGTGGATTTTGAGGTAACTTTTAAAAGTTTAAAATCTACAATATTCCATGGAGTTAAATAAGACGGTAAATTATGGTTTCATCTATTTAATGCATCCATTTTTTTTAATGTTCTCTCTCTGTGTTGTCCTCTCTGACTGTTGCTGTTTTAATTTTACAGTTCAACGGCTTTTTCAATTTAAATGGTAAAAGCCAAGTTATGGTGCCATATGTGACGAATGTTAATTGCATGGATGTGGTGTTCTTGTTACTTTTTTTCTCAAAGACAATTTCCCCATCCCGCACACTTCAGTTTTGAGCAAATGTTATCCTCCATGCCACCTTCCAATATTTAACCCTGTATTTGCTGTACAGACATTTTTATAGCTCCACGTTCTGTGAAATTTAGCCAATTTGTCCTCTTGTGCTCCTTTTTATACGTTAACGATTTCCTAAGCATTTGTGCATTTTCTTACAAGTTATGTTTTATCGTTTCAAGAAATGCTGTTAACCTGGCAGTATTAAAACTGAATGAGCAAGGCCTCTTGGACAAATTGAAAAACAAATGGTGGTACGACAAAGGAGAGTGCGGCAGCGGGGGCGGTGACTCCAAGGTCAGCCTCAATGTCACCACAACCGGGTACCCTTAGTGACGAGTAATCGGCAAGACTGTTATCTTATTATTGAGGAGAGAGCACAAGACTCACACATAAATTGAAATGACCAGGTTATTCCCCTGCCTGGCAGCTTTGGGAACCAGAAAGACTTCAGGGCGCTGCCTGCATTTTTGATCTAACTTGGGTCCCTTCTTAAACTCCCAGACAGAGGCTCCCTATCCACACCCCTTCCTTCCCATCACACACTGGACTGGTTGCCTTATGAAGGCTATGGTGTGGGTTTCACTGCCTTAGGCTTTCAATAGCCCAAGGCTTTCCTTAAGACTGTCCCCCGCCTGCCTCAGCTGAGTGGTGTGAGAAATCAAACCCATCTACTAAAGTCAGGTTACAGCCTCTTTTTTCCGCTTAAGGCATGATGTTGCTCACAGATGTTGGTTGGTTGATTAGAGTTGGCTTCTTCAATTATGTGTTTGAGTGATGAGATGTTTTTTTCTATATGCGATGGCCTATTTAAGCTGGCCCCACTTAACTTGAAAGCCAAAAATAAGCTCGGTTTCAAGTTAGATGGGGTCTTTCTTCAATAGGCCACCTCATATATAGACTTTGCAAAGACATTTTGTATATTTAAACAAGTGCGTCGCCTAACTGTGTACTCTTTGTGTATAAATTCCTGATTTGGCTTCCTTAGCCATGTTCTTGGTTCAGGTAGGTCAAATTGTTATCCAGGCTACCATTATGAGAAAACACATCTTACTTGGCATTCCTTTGACTCCTTAATGCTCTTCCTCCAAGCAACAAGAAATGGAAGCAAGCTCAGAAGCCAAGTTACCAAATGATGGAAGGACAGATTGGGTAAGTACAGGAGAGGACCTGAAAACAGAATTCTCCATGGCCCAAAGGGAATGAGAATTATATCGAAACATGTAAGATCGACTTTTATACAACCAAGAATTCATGGGCATCTTAAGGTGAAGAACAGTGTTTCCCAACCACAGATCATCAGACAGGCAAGACAAAACTTTTCTCCTTCAAAGACAATGATTACACCTCTGTTCCTCTCTTTCCCTCTCCATTCTTCAGCATCCTGACAGAAAAGTTAGTTTACCAGTCTGCAGAATAATATGGGTTTAGAAACACTAATACAGAGTATGTTCAAAGAAATAAATTTAAGAATAACTTTCTTCAGCACATAATCTTACCAGGCATTGGCGAGGTCTTTTATTATAAAACCTTGATTAACCAGAACTCACCTAACCAGTACCCCAATTAACTAAATTGAGCACCCCCCAGTAATCCACAATGATGAGAAAGCAGCAATAGTACTAAAAGAGAAGACTGAAAGGAATTGACTTTTTAATCACTTGCCAAGCAATTACCTGTGGTTAGATCACATTCAGCTCTGTCTCCTATATCTTCTCTCCATCTGGATTGACCCTCAAATATTAGAGGCTTCTTCCCTGAGGAAAGAAAGTGGATACAAGCATTTTGAGGGGGAAAATGTTATTAACCAAGAATGAAACAAAATGAGTATTGAAAATTCCATCCATTCCTTATGGATGCCAATTAATCAAGTTTTTACTATGTGTCAAAAAGCAGTAACTTCCTTTCCCACCTATGTGAACTAATGACATTGACAGTTTAGCCAAACTTTTGGCCTATTTGAGTTTTGGAATGGCTAGCCTGATGCCTATAGTATTTAGAACCTTCTTCCTGGTCTTCTTCTCATGTTAATAGCAGGCCACAGAGAACCCAATTATATCATTGAAATTAGTTGTGGAATGAAAATTGAGCTGGATTGGATACATTACTCTGAGGAATTCATCTCAGCATGGTTAAAAGGAGCTATGGACTGTTTCAAGATGACTCTAAAACATCCACATGATGCCAACTGCCCAGAAGTTTTCAAATAACCAAATGTTTGATGTTACATAAAAAATCTACACACATTTAGTTGAATTTTCACTTTTTACCCAGATGTTTTGGTATCATGAAGACCCATAAAACTTTAGACCAGCTATTTACTAATTACAACCAACAATCAACTTTCTTTTCTCAGCTGATACTGCTGCAAAGTTATCAAGTAACTTAATCGCCGACCCATAATTTCCAGATTATATGACTTTTATATGCAAATAGAAAAATATTTCAGTATATCTTAAATGTTTTCAACTTCTTTGATGATAGTGCTACCTGCCAGGTATCCTTCAAATCACTTTTTTCAGTCATTGTTCCAGCCAATCTTTTGAAATAAGTCAACCGTTTTCTCAACTACGGATAATAGTATGATCAGTGCTGCATATCCAATGATTGCTTATTCTATTTCTGGATTACCAAGGAGCTTGCCTTTATCTTCTTCCTTCTTGCTACCTGCTGTTTTCTGAAAATGAGTGAGAGAAGGGGCAAGAGATGAACTTGACTCTCTTTTACCACTATTTAGTGGTGATGCCAAAAACAAATCAATGGAGAAGAAAGTAGAAAAGGCATTGAAACCTCATTAATTTGGAGCCCTCTAATTTATAATCTGTGATAAACTGGACAGGGACCAGTCTATAATCTAACTTCATATTATCAGGGATGCAGCCAAGAGAGGTTTGTTAAGCAAATGAGAGTTGGGACTAGATTGTCAGTTGAATTTTTGTTTAAGAGAACAAACCTTTTTCAAATGTTGGAAGCATCTATTAGATATAATCATATTCATTACAAATATATCTGCTAAAGTAGTGCTCACAAAGACCTCCACAAAGCAATGTTTTATAGTGAGTTTGAATTACAAAATAGACTTAAAGTCGTAAAATTGCCATTCTTCAAACAGATTTTGTAATTCATGACTTTTTAATTCAGACAACCCCTCCTCTGTTAGTCCAAATCAGTAAGGTTTAAATGTATTAGTAAAATGGCTTGAGAATTACAGTTCTTTATTGTATCCCATCCCCAGTTAACATGACAATTGACTGCTGAATATATCATCTAATAGAGAAAGTGAGACCCAGAGACGGTGGTGACTTTGAGAAGGTCACACAGCTAATGCTATTATAAATCTCTTCAGACTTTCAGGGTCACCTCCTGTGATAATATTGCAGATAGCAATTTATCACATCTAACCATCCAATGAGCAATGTCAATCTGTCTGCATGTGACATATTTCTATAAAAATCAGGTTCATTCTCAACTACCTTGGTTACAATGCAAATGGCATATTGAAGCCATTATAGACCTCATACTGATTACTAAAAATGACAGCAATCACAAAGCCTGACATTTATGAGTGCTTTTACTTGTTAAAAAACACTTCCACACCTATTATCTCTGAAACCAGGAGAGGGAGAAAAACCTACACTACTGATCTCTTTGTCTGTCTCCTGCAACCTTTAAGTAATGATAAATGGGCAATTATGTTAAATTGTTGTCTTTTTCCCCCTGGCATGAGACATTACACATCCTAAGCCTATTCTCAAAAAGTCACAATTCTATGGAAGGAACCAACAACTATTCAGGCTGTTTTAAATATGCACATGCTTAAACTAATGAAGTAGATATTTATTTTACTTTAATTTATTTTATGAATAGAAGGAATTAATTCAAAGCCAGTCACTAAAGTAGCCTCTGAACCAGACCTACAGGCTAGAACTAAAATACTTCTTAGTTTTACCATTTTTCTGAACTTGAGTTAATAGAGACTAAACAAATCAGAATTGATCCTTCCTTGATGGACTTTAAATGCAGGCAAGGATCATGGAATTAGAGCTGTGGTTTGGGGGGTTTTAACCTACAAATCAACCTTTTGTGTTAGTGCTTTATTACAATGTGCATGCAAATGTGGTGATTAAGAGCCAGAAGGTTGCTCTACCAGGTTTGGCTCAGCCTACAGACTAAAGGGTCCCGAGTTCAATTCTTGTCAAGGGCACATGCCCAGGTTGTGGGCTCAATCCCCAGTAGGGGGTGGGTAGGAGGCAGCCCATCAATGATTCTCTTTCACTGATGTTTCTATCTCTCTCTCCCTCTCTAAAATCAATAAAAATATATTTTTTAAAAGAGCCAGTAGGTTATTTCAGTGCTAAACCCAGTTCACTGGGGGTTTGTGACACAGCCAATGTAAGTCTGTCACTGTAAATCACAGCAGAATGGGGATTTAGCTGCTGAATTACCTCATAAACATATCAGCCTCCCTCTATAGCTGCCCGTCATCTCAAACTTTCAAATACTTCTGAAAGAAGAACTACCATATTTCATTCTCTTAATCTTGGGTAAAGTGTATCAGATTAGCTTTCCCGTGTAGTCCTACTTTACTAGAGGGGGTCAGGTCAGTGAATCAAGCTTTTTGTGAC